AATAGATATTGTTTTTCTGCTCAGTAACAGCTAACTCTCAGTTAACGCTCTCGCCTTTCTCAGTGTTCTTTTCTCACACTTGCGTTGTTTTGCTTTTGAAAATAGCAGGACTAAGCCTGGCTTGATTTAAGGCCCCCTTTTGTTTACGTCCTCTCCAAACTTTGTCAGATTTGACTTACTAGATGTTCCACTGAGCTGGGAAAAAGTAAAGCCTGTTTCGAAGCATTTTATTCATCAACTCTTAAAACAGAAAAAATAAACACTGAGGACTTTTAAATCTGTTTTTAATTTTAAAAATAGATGCTTCTTGACTCTGTACTCTAAATCAGATCAAACCACAGAATTTAACCATTTCCAGACTAACAAGTACTCTTCTTTGTACACGCTGCTATAGGATGACTTAGGTGAGCATGGCTTTGGATGGGGGTCAGCAGCCTAGCGTTAATCTGGTGTCGTTTCTTTTCTCAGTCTGCGCCTTGGTGGCTGCCTATAGACAAGGCTTTTTGGCGACAGGTAAGGAGAGCTTTTCATTGCAACCCTTCCACGCTTCAGAGATGGCTGGTTACACCTTTCTGTAATGATGGGTAGTCTAGGACCAGCCTGGGACATGGGAGATTTGGCTACGGATAAACAGCAGTTTATTAACTGAATATTTATTAGTTTCACTGTTCTCTCTTACTCAAAAGTTGTCCTGAATGTCATGAAATGTTACCACTTAACCCTGCTACAAGTTTCAAAGTTCTGGCAGCTTTAGTAGACAGGCTGTTCAAAATCCTTTGGCCAAAGCACTCTTAGATCAAGAGTCTCACCGTTTTGGTGATAAATGGGTTGCAGAAACTTTTGCTAAGACAAAATCGGTCTTTGCATGCTGAGGGCAGAGACCCCTTTGCATGCTGAGGGCAGAGACCCCTTTGCATGCTGAGGGCAGAGCCGAACAGTGCTGGGCGCACACAAATTTAATGTATGCTGAACCTCATCGAATAAAAATGGGGCGAAAAATCACATCTCCAGTTCCATTGCTGCAGGTTCCCCACCTTGCTCTGAACTGTCCTTTGTTTCCTTATTAATGGAAAAGTTTATGAAATCAATTAAAACATGTTCAATGCACTTCTTCACAGCCCTCAGGTCCTGGCTCCGGTATAAAAGACAGGCTGGATTACCCCGTGTTGCATGTGAGCTGGAATGATGCACAGGCGTTTTGCAAGTGGAAAGGGAAGAGGCTTCCCACAGAGGAGGAGTGGGAATTTGCTGCTAGGGGAGGCCTAGAGCGTATGTAAGACCAGCTTTGACCTTTTTCTTAAACCAAACCAATTCATCAAGTAATATTAGTTCTACTGGACTCTTTGAGCTATCCAAATCTCCATATAGAGATCTTTTCAGAGGTTAATCTAGGGGACCGAATGGCCTCCTTTGTCCTGAGAGTCAATTAAATAGTGGCTTCTCTATGTTCTCAATCCTTCTTCCTAAGTGAACCACTTCAGCCAGATAAAGATACCATTTCACAGATTGGGGCAAGGAGCAACCCACCATGCGGTCGCATGCTGGTATTGGCATATAGCAGCCCCTGTGAGCAATCATGGTGCAGTAGCTACTGTGGGGCTCCCTGGCATGAGCAATGGTTTGTAAATGGGAAGTTGAGTCTGGCTCCCGTTCTCCCCTCCGTCCCATTGGTGGTGTTTGTAGTGATTAGACCAGCAGGTATTGCTCATATAACTCTTCAAGCTGAGCAGGAAAGGATAGTAATAAAAGCCTGTTTAAAAACAGGCAAATCCAGAAGCTGGACTGACTCGCAGGGAATAACTGGTCGTCTCTCTTCTGCTTTGACAGAAAGAGTATATCCCTGGGGAAACAAGTTTCAGCCAAACCGTACAAACCTGTGGCAGGTAAGATCCTGAAAACCATCTTGTCTGTATTGAGCTGTTCTGATGGTGTTTTTGTAAAACAACCACAGAATTTGTGTGGCTGTCATAGCATATTGCATGGTGCTGGGAAGCGATCAGCCCCTGGTACTTTTTCCAGAGTATCCTTAGAATGGAGCAGTCTCACGCTGGTTTCCCTGAGGAAACTGGGATTTTGTTTCTTCAGGAATGGATCTACTCAGACATAAAGTTTTTAGGAAAGTGGATTGTCTTTTCCTTGGGAGAGCTTTAAATGGTTGATCTGCTATCTTGGATACAAAGTTACGTAGAGCTAATTTGCAACAGTTATTTCCACTACTTAAGCACAATGCAGTTCTCTAAAGACCAAGACTTACCATCTTCTCTGTGGTGGGTCTTTCTCTGTGTCTTCCCACAGGGCAGTTTCCCGAGCCTTGATACAGCTGAAGACGGTTACCACGGAGTTTCGCCAGTGACAGCATTCTCTCCTCAAAACAGCTATGGTGTGGAACAGACATCCCTGTCTTGGTTTTTAGACTGGCATCTGCTTGCAAATATCCATTCAACACTACAATCCCACAGGCGTAGTAGAGTTTAAAATATGAAGTGGGATGGCGTCAGCATCTTGATAGAAGAACAGTGAGCCTTGCAAAAGCGTTGATGGTTGTTACTGAAGTTGGCTGAAGTATGCCTGATGTACTTTAATGAACCAAACTGTTCTATGCTTTTAATAGCAGTCAATTATTTTGTTGTTTGTGAGTTATCACAAATAGCATGTGATTTATCTGAAAAACTCAAGTGCATTGTTTTGAGGGAAGCAGATGCCATTTCCTCATTATGCAGATGGGAAATGATGAGACTCATTTAAGCTGAGAGATTTGTGGAAGGCCCTCTGTTGAAGAGGGGCTCTGTGCTCTCGCCATTAACCACGCTTTTCCAATGATGCTTTGAGTGTTGCACACAAACTCCACGCAGCAAAGTGCTTTTGCAACCTTTGCGTATGTGCTCTCATGATCTTAATACAAAAACATTTGCGTCTCAGGGCTCTATGATCTGCTAGGAAACACTTGGGAGTGGACTGCGTCAGAATACCTAACTCCTGGGCTTTCATCAAGGCGGCGTGCTCAGAAAATGCATGTCTTGAGAGGTGCGTCTTGGATTGACACCGCAGATGGATCGGCGAATCATAAAGCTCGTGTTACTACAAGGTAGGTTTGTGCAGTGCTCAAGTGCTGTTTCATAGTGATTTGTGGTTCCTTAGTTATATGCCAATGTGTTTTATTTTAGAAGATTTTTGTCAGTTCCTACTCAGTTTTTTTGAGAAGCATTTAGGAAAACATACAATAAGTACTGCTAAAAATGTTACTGCTATAACTGCATTCCTAAATGCTTTTCAAATTGTGTGCGTTTTCCATTGAGTATTTAATAACTTTGCTAGAAGTTATTCATGGTACGTAGAAGATGTTCATAGTCTGTTATGCAGGGTGACAAGTGTTAACTACAAACAATCGATAACTTTGGATATCTTTTTCCATCCTAGAATGGGGAACACACCAGATTCAGCCTCTGATAACCTCAGTTTCCGTTGTGCTGCTGACGTACAGAATCACAAAGCTAAGAAAAGGGGGACCAAAACTGAGCTCTGAGTAGGTCACTTGGAAAGACCTCAAGGCATTTTCTCCTGTGGAGATGAACAGTAATTCCAGCAGTCAAACTTTCATTAAACTAGCATATTTCAAAAATTGAAAATAAATACTTTCAGCTAAAACTCACTTCTGTACTGGGATATTTGGGCACTGAGTGGGAATCGGGAATGACAGAGAGGGAGTTTATCTTTAATGTCCTCTTGATGTTTTAGATACTACATTTCTCCTTTTGGTATCCATTTAGCTAGGCAGAAGGTGTAGGTGTGCGAGACCACCAGTGCACAGCATTAAGCCAGGAGCTCCTCTGCCTACCCATGCCTTCTGGCTTTGCGATGCCTCACTCTCTCCTCGGGCTCATTCCTCATCGGCTCTGTCTGCCCCAGTAGGACTAGCCAGAGGGAGCACAAACCAGCTCTGGGGAGCTGCTCGAGCAGCAGCCTGAAACACGGAGCCCAAACAGCCAGGTCTACCATTACCGCCAGCATGGGGCTTCCTTTCAGCCCCTTAGCATCCTGGGCTAAGTAAAGCAGGGTGTCCTTATTGGCCCTTCAACAGTAACAATGCTGTTCGTTTCTAAGTGCACGGATGACACAGAAATCAATAAACCAAATCTCTCAGCCACTATGACTGTGTAAGGTCTACAGAGCAGCTGTGGACTCTTTATAATTTATTTTAAAACTGCCTGAGGTGCGTGGGTCAATGTGAACTATGATATTTCTTTGCCACTGCTCAATGAAAGCTCTGCTAAGTACTAAGTGCTTGCTGCTCAGCCCCACTCGTTTAATGGGCTTGGAGATGGGATGTCCCTTGACACTCGGAGGACAAGCAGAAAGGAGCAGGTTCAAGAGCCGCAGCCCAGCAGAAGCACTAGCTGGCAGCTAAACATGAAGCAATGACATTCAGGCTCCCTGCTACAAGCTCCACACTGCAAATCCCCTTCCTGAGGTACCCGAGGTTTGCTGCGTTGTGACAGGTCTCAGCAAGAGAACTACATTTGTCATCAGAGGGAACAGCTCAGTTTGGAAAGCGAGCTCTCCAGGCTCACTGCGATGGCTGTTCCTCGCTGGTGTGAAGTTGCTCAGTTCTGACCTTCTGTGACCAAATCCGACAGGAGCACGATCTCTGGGCCCATCAGTGGGTGATGACACCAGCTCCCGGCGCCGATCTTCTCGTCAGTGAATCCCTTGGAGTGAGAAAGAGGCCAACTCCAGAGCTGGGCACCTGGAGCCGAGCCTTTGCTGTAAGATCTCTGCCTTTTTGGAAAGCATTTGGAGCTATAGCTTGTTACAGCTCTACCAGCAGCTGTGTCTCCAGAGCAGTTCCTCTGCGGGATTTTGGAGAAACCTTAAACAGCGATATAACCCTCGGACAAATCGGAGCCCTGACAAGACAACCGCATGCGAACGCAGCCCCAACCAACAGCACTGACTTGAGGCCGGTGATATTTTTCTCTAAGACAAAGCAGAAGAAATTGCTGGTTGGTTTCCAAAGGCTTTACTTGCCTGATCTCTGACTAAATTCATACACTTTACACAGTACAGGCACAGCTTTACGTGGCGATCAGAACAGCTCTTCCTCCGCTGCCAAGGCCAGCAGAATGGCCTTGCAGGTGTTCTCGAAGAGGGCGGCTCGGTTCTGCACCTCCCCCTTCTTCACCCAGTGCTTGTAGGTCCTGAAGGCGCAGGCGTCGATCAGCTTGCGGATGGGCTTCAGGGCGTAAGGGTCACGCACCACCAGCTCCCGCGTGACCGACTTCACGAGCCGGTACTGGTAGTAGATGCGGACGGACGCCAGGACGGTCAGGCAGATGACCTGCAAAGGAGAGGAGAGGACCTCGCAGCGCGGCAGCGGGAATCCCCGCCGCGCGCCCCAGCAAGTCCCTCAATTTAATGGGATCTGTCCTAGCGCGTCCCGAGCTGCGGCTGTAAGGACAGAGGAGGTCTAGCTCCTAGCACAAGTGTTTAGTCCCGTGTGGCTTTCTCCAAGTTCACCCTTAACTTCATCACCGCGCGTCAGCCTTACATGCCTGAGCTAATGGTGGTGGGTGATGCCCGTAACTGCAGGGTGTAGAGACAGCAACAGAAACCTGTTTTAGGTATGTTTGAGGCACCTTGTGTGCAGTCAGGCTAACTGCTTTCTCCTTGGAAGTGATTTTTTTCTTTTTAAAGCTTTTTTTGGAGGGGGAGGGAAGTTTCTTCCCTTTTTTAATTTAATCCTCCTTTCTTGCAGTTAAATTTCCTTTGTGAAACCTTGCTGTGAAAAACCCCTTAGGATGTGCCCCCAGAAAGTAAGCCAGATGTTGCTTGAAGAAGGGCCACTTTGGCACTTACACTGGCAAAGGACGATCCCAAAGTCCAGGCGCATCAAAAACCCCGAAACACAGGAAATTCAGCCCCACCATTGGGTTCCTGCAGGTGCTGGGGTCTGGCGATGCTACGTACCAGGACCCCACAGCAGCACCAACCTCACCTTGAATTTCCGGAAGGGGCTGAAGTGCCGGACCTCCTCCACGTCGTACTGCTGGAAGAAGGGGTGGGCCAGCGCCTCGCTGGCCGTGTACCGCTGCTGCGGGTCCACCACCAGGAACCGCGAGATCTGCAGAAGGGCACCAGCATGACCCTGCCGCCCCACGTCCCTCCCCAAGGCCGTGCCCCGGGGGGCTTCATCATCACCCCAAGCTCTTGATGGACACCTGGAGGATCAATGGCAACATCTCCTCCAGGCTATCCCCCCTGGGGCTTTTCCAGCCCTGCTCCACTGGGAAGTGCCTACCAGGTCCTTGACAGTGTCGGAGCGGTCGTCCCACTCTGGGGAGCCGAACTGGTAGTCCCCGTTCATGATCATGCGCAGCATCAGCATCTGCTTGCGGTGCCAGAAGGGCGGCGAGCCGGCCAGCAGTGTGTACATGATCACCCCCGTGCTCCACCTGTGGGCACCAGCGAGACCCCCAGCCCCGCGGCACTGCAGGGCAGGCGGCCGCATCCAGGCCCTGAAGGGCACCTTGATGCCTCCACCCACCAAAAGACATGCTGGAAAACTGGGATGAAACTGCCCTGCTCGGCCTCTAATCAGGGAGGCTGAGCTTGCTCCTGGGGCTCGTTAGCCTGCTGGGTAATTGGGAGCAGGGGTGCTGCCTACTTTTGGGGAGGGATGTGGGACTTTGGGGCTGAGCTGGTGGTGTGGAGCTGCTCTCCTGGGTGAAGATGTGAGTTAGAGATATCTGCTTTACTTGATTTTCTTGTCATTTGGGGTCATCCCCCCCTAGGGGAGAGAGAAGCTGTGGATGGGTGTGAAATGGTGGGACCTGGCTGGGACCTCCCATCTCAGAGGTTGGGCTGAATGGTGGTATTTAAACTAAAAACGGTGCTATAAAAATGGCTGAAATGCCCACGTGCATCTTGGGTGTCTGTTTGCAGCTCTACTCACCGCAGGGCTGAGCCTAAACTGTCAGAGATGGGGACAAAATGCCTGCCGGGGTGAAGGTGGGTATCGCTCCCTTGGGGGCTGCCTCTGGCTCCCATCGTGTGATGGGGTCTCTTAAAAAGCCAGAACATGTTTTGGGGCCCCTCCTGATCCCAGGATAGTGGGGTTTTCTGGTGCATCTTTCAACTTCCCTGAGCACTGACTGGTCTCAGGCTGCCCCGGCTGATTTTCAGGCCGTCGCCGCTGGCTAGCGAGGGCTGGGCAGCTCTCGTCGTCCCTGCGCCCGAAACCGTTCCCTGAACC